TCTTTATGGTATATTGGAAACATGAGTCTATTCCTCCCTTTTATAGAGGGGAGAAAGAAAGAGTAGGTGGATATAGCCCAAAGCTAAATCTTTTAATATATCTTGCTCTTATTTTATTTCTGTTCACATTCATCTAGATTATTTGTTTAGATAGTGCCTCATAAATGTCTATGTCTATTTACTCCTTTCCAAATGTCACTCTTAACATGTTTGGTCCTCATTAAAAGAATCATAGGAGCTTTCTAGATCACTTCCCTGTTTCTGGTGCTTACAATTTTTGATGGGGTCAAGGGTTGTGGGTTCCACTGAAAATCATGTAAAAGCTATGCACCATCTCTCAGAAAACTGAATGCTTACACAAACTCCTGCCAGTTTGTTTGGAAGAGTTATAAATTCTGAGTTTTACACTTTATTAAAAGCCCCTAGTCTAGTTGTCTCCCTCAACCTATCCCTCGAATTTCTATCAGAGTACAACTTCTAACATACAATTTGGATCAGATTACTCTTGCTCAGAACCATTTCATTTTCTGTTGTCTTCACAACGGAAGTCTAATCTGCTTGGACTGGAATCCACACTCCTTCAAACTCTCACCTTTGTAGCCTCATTGCTTCCTCTCTACCCCTGCTTCCTCCTCTCAAACACACAGCCTTCTAAGCCAAACCAGAATATTGCTATTTCCCCAATATTTCCTTCATTTTGCTTCTACAATTGTTGCTACCTGAACATCCTTTCCCTTACTCCCACCTATTTGGGCCCTTTCTAACCTCAAGTCCAGTGTCTGTTCTAATTCTTGGTTATTTTTGTGGACACAGCTCTCAGTACTAAGTAACACCTTGTATAGCGTCTTGCACATCATTGTAATGTATTTGCCTGTTGGCCCTCAGATCCTTTCCTTGCCTTCCCCTTGTATTACTTAGAGTCTGCCACCTGAGGGTTGTGCTGTCCAGGTTCCTGAGTCAATTGACCTCCAACTGGTTTCAACAATTGGAAATCTCTGGAGGGAGAATGGGAGACTGAAGGAAGGAAGAAATCAGGGTATTTCTTTCTCACTGTCTCTGCCTCAGACCCTATCTGTGATGGTAGCTGTGTCTCCTCTAGAGCTTCAGCTCCTACTACAGAGGCCCTTAGAGCTTTCCGCTTCTGCTGGGTGACCCTGGCCCCAGGGCTCCTGAATCAACACTTCTATTCTTTGTCCCTCTAGCTCAGGGATTTCCTGCAATTACTGAGTTCCTGGATGCCTCATTTGCCCCTGTTTGCTTTCACATCTTTTCCTTTACCTAGGTAATCAATTCCTTGCATTAGTCCTTCTGTTTCAATATGTAGACCAATTTATATATCCCTGATTGAACCGTGACTGATACAGCTGGCATTTGGCGGGTATTTGCTGAACTTTATTACCTAATTTTAAGCTTTCTTCTATGTGGGCATCTCTTTTTTGAGTGAACCAGGTATAGGTCCTTTATCAGTTACCTAGAGCACAGTAGCATTACATGGGGTTACCTGGGGTAGTAACAGATTACCTCAAAACTCAGTGATTTGAAACAATTGGCATTTATAAGTTCATAAGTCTAAGGTTTGTCTGGGTGGTTCTTCCACTTTCACCTGGGTCTACTCATATACCTGTGCTCAGTTATATGTCAGCTAGGTGGCTCTCCTCATCTTGCCTGGGCTCTCTCCTATGTATGGATCTTGGCTAGTCAAGGCTGATCTAGGATGGCCTTGGCAGAGACAACTAACATGAGTCAACTTCACTTTGTGTTTCTTAATCACAACAGGCTAGTCCAGGCATGTTCTCATGCCATCACAGAGGAGCAAGAGAAAATACAGAAACATAGCAAGAACTTTTTCAAACTTCTACAGGCAACATACCTGCTAACATTCCATTGGCCAAAGCAAGTCACATGGCCAAAGTTTGAATCAAAGCGGCAAGAAAATAGACTCAAATAGTGAGAGTAACAGCAAAGTTACATAACAAAATGGTGGGCACAGGGAGAGGTGAAGAATGTACACTATTAATGCAATGTAATCAGGTTCCATAAGATTTGAAAAGAGACTTGAGACAACAAAGTTAGGTAGGTAGATGATAGATAGATAGATAGATAATTGATAGATGGATGATAGATAGATAGATGATAGATGGTAGATAGATAGATAGATAGATAGATAGATAGATAGATAGACAGATAGATAGACGACTTTAATTTTTTGCCATAGTATTAATATTTTTAAAATGAAAACTTTGCAATAAAATACACATTGTGTAACTGCTAATTTGTCCAGTACAGTTCCTTTGTATATAGTTACTGACCAGCGGAAAAAATAGACTAAGTAAAGAGCCATTTATAAATAACATATTAGTAAACCAAGTTAAAAGGACTTTATTTATCCTTTAACCTTCAATTTGCATTAATTGGGAGCTGTCCTGGGAAATTGTGCCAACCTCACCTCAGGTCAGATGGCTTAACAAAATGAACTGTTTCATGCCCCAAAATAAATATATTCCAAGTATAAATATGAATCAGTTACGAAACAGATTCTTTTGAAAGTACAGAATAACCACACTGTTAATATATTTGTGCCCCAATTAAAAATGTGTAAAGAATGTACATTCTGAGCTACAGTTGTCCCGAGGAATGATTCCCATTTTTGCTTTGAATCTTGTATAAACAAACTGAGCAGCCTCCTTTGAGCTACGATCAAATTCACAGCTCTCTGTTTTCTAAAGAGAAGAATTAAAAATGGGTATGTTTAAGTTGGAAGGCTCTGGGGCTTGACCTTGCTGCTTTAAATTTCCTTCATCACTAAGAAATCACTTTGAATTTGTCTCCTTGGAATCCTCTAATTTGGTTTGTTCTTGGTTTGAGGCACACAATGAAAGAGATGCTGTCTGTTTGTATTATAGCAAAATTTGGAAGCCACTGATGCTGTTTTCAATTTCTTTCTCTGCAGTTTCATCTTTAGAACCTAAGCCTGTTCTCAGTAATTCAGAACAAGGCCAGTGACATCTTATGGCCTGGGTGAGATTCCTGGCTAGCCTCTTCACTGTTTGACTTTGGGCAAAATTTTAAACCTTTCTCTGCCTCTCCTTTCCTAATCTGAAAATTGGGATTATTAATAATGCCTACCTCATATGATCATTGTGAGGATTAAATTAAGCAATAAAGTGAATTAGTATAACCCAGCCCACAATATGTACTGAGTAAATGTTAAGTATAAAAATGCTTATTATTATTAATCGTTATATGAGAATTTAGGTTGTTTATACTGAGTCAGGTTCACATATATTCTTCAAAGTCTAAATCAGAATTATACCCTAAAAAATACATCGAGGTCCAATATAGTTTTTATACAAAAGGCACTGTTTAATTTCAAATATTAGTGTTAGGAGTAGTGGTGTATATTTACTCCTATTCACCATAAAGCCACAACAATTGCAAACACAGCTTCTTCTTGGTCTTATCAATTCAGTCTTTGAGAATGCTTTTAGAGTATGTGTCTTTAGAGTATGTCTTGGTCTTCAGTCTCATGCTATAAGAGTTTATAATTGTCTAGCAAACAGCGAGATGATATTGATAACTTGGGATTTGAAGATTTATGACAAGTACAGTGAAGAGAGACTTGGAAGAAAATAGATAAATACAGTGCCAAAGTCTTCTTTAATGTTGTTTCGAAAGGGAGAAAAATTAATAATAAGCAGGTCGATTTTTAACAAATAGGTTTTGCCTTTCAGCACACTGAGTGTTGACTCTGCTTGGAGTCACCATGCAGAAGAGTCATTGTTAAAACAAGACAAGGCAACATCTTGAGTAGCTCAGAGTCAAGAGGCAAAGAAAATTCACACCTACACGCAAACATATGCACACCCACACATAACCAACAATCACTTTAATGATATAACAAGTGCTTTTATGGTGCCATAAACGGTTAGTTAGGTGTTGGGTGAAAAGATAATGACTGAGCATATATTTATTCAGTGTGCAGTTAAAGGGAATGAGCTGTTAGAGACCCACAGGGGTAGCTTGCACATACCCAATGTTGAGTCATAAATGCAGAAAGATAGATACACAACATAATACATATCATAAAAACACACAAACTGTTCATTGTCCTCGATACACATATTGTATGTAAATGTGAAAAAAAAGTGGCCAAGAAAGATACAAATTTATGGTCTGGCCTTGGAGTGGGGTTGTCAAGGAGACTATACTTATGCTCCATTTTCTTTTTAATTAAAAAAAAAAAAAAGAACATGTGAAAAAGTGCTTTCAGTGGTTCATCCTGGGTAACGGGAACCCAGATATTTATTCTACTAACCTCTGTTCTTCTATGATTTCTAAGTTCTGCACAATAACAACAATAATAATTGGAAACCACAGTTAGTTGAAAAGCAGCTTCTTGCTTGTGCAGACACTTGGAGACATTATCTGCGGCACAAGCAAGTGCCTCGATCTGTTTGGCAGTCTCTTTAATACCTGTGTACGAAGTGTCCCCAACATGATCGCACTAAATACAGTCTAGACAGCGCCATAGCTTCCTGCTTGGATGCATGCATACCCTTCATTTCACCAGAGGGCGTGGCCAAAGCTTCTGTTTGTTAAGACCGATCTCAAAAATGTCTTCTGAGACCCAACTGAATCCTTTTTAGCACAAATTTTCTAAATTAAGATTCCCATTTGCCTTTCAGTCATTTTCCCAGACCAAGAATCCAAAACTCCTGAGTCCTATCCACAGAAAAGTAGGGCTTAGAATAAGGGATCCACGAGTGCGGTCCCATGCCTGTAATGCGTTACTACAATCCTTGTGCTAAAGTCTCTTTCTCTGAAATCGTTTCCCCTTTGGAATGAGATCTTATCTAAGTCTATTTGCATGTATTCAAAATCAGAGACAGCTCTGAAACCAGACCCTATTTAAACATAGAAAAAAGAGCGGATTAAGCAAATGGTGGGGAACTTTAAAAAACACACACACATTGATCTTCTTATGTTTCTTTTTTTTCCAGATCTTCAGTTTTCCTTCCATTGGCCGTCCAGCGTGGGTGCCAAGTTCCACACGTGATTTAATGGATCAGAAGGTCAGATGTCAGATTTGACTCCGCTGTTGGCCAACTTGTGGTCTCTATGATTAATCGTCACTTTTTAACATTATGGGAATCATCTTCTAATTTGTGGCAATGCTGCTGTTGTTCTTTAACATAGTTTTGAATGTTAGATATTCAGGGAGATATAAAACAGTAAATGGGTTAAAAGAATCATAATGGAGAAGAAGAGTAAAAATAAGATGGAGAGAAAGGAGCCCATTTTTTCATTTGTTATGTGGGAAAATTGTGCTCGGTGAAGGTCCAACTGCTCTCGCCACTCTCTTTACCTTCAGTGTTAACAAAGTCCTAAAAATGAGATCACCCATTGGTTAGAGCAAGTCGGATAGAGCGTATAAGCACCTGTGTGTTGAAGATCCCTTTCTTTACTGACAAGGCTTCTGAATTCCCCGTCATTCCAAGATGTTTGGCAATATCGAGCAGCCTGTTTGGAACACTAGGTTATAATTCAGAACCCAGTTTGTTTACATTATTATAACAACAGTTTCAGTTTGTCTCTGCAGTGAAGGTTGTGTCAGCACTTTCCTTTCTGTGTTTATTATTTTTAGCAGTTTAAAAGCTACCCTTGAAAAAATGGCTTTCTGGCTATAAGGTGACATTCTGGCTAGGCCAGAGCCTGGTGGAGTCTATAGAAATGCTCACTGGCTGTGGGAGTCAGGCCTTTTGAATGCTGTCTTTGTGCCTCCCTTTGCCCAGGGCCTCTGGCCTATTGTCTAGGTGCCTCAGTTTGGAGTGATGCTATCTGATTGTAACCACTACTAATATTACAGTGCTTAGTGCCCAGCCCCTCCCTGGGGGCCCCCAGTCTGGCTGCCTCTGTCTCCCAGCCTTCTCTCCAGGGGACCAGTCACAGCTCTCATATCAGAAGACACTATTCGTAATTTATAGAATGTTCAAGGGAAGGGGATAAGTAAGGATTGTCTAGACCTGTGGTTCTCTAACTTTTTTTTTTTTTTTACAAAGAATCCTCTTCCCAAAAGAAATCTTTCAGTGAGTCCCAATTTGTCAGACATGGAAAAGTACAGCTGTTCTGTTTGAAGGTGAGAAGGATGTCATAAACCCAGCTCTTCAACGTCCTCTTTGCCCACCCCTAGTCAAGGTGACTTCTCAGGTCCCTCACCCCTCCCAGGAAACCTGCCATTCCTCAGAATACTTGCACACCATCCTTGCAGGGCAGTCCCCTCAATTTATAGATAAAGAAACTAAGAGGTGATTTTTACAGATGTTTAAAACAGAAGGCTTTGGACACTAAAGAGTTCTCACTGTATTAATCCATTTTTATATAGTTCTAGAAAAGGCACAACTAATCTACGGTGTTAGAAATCAAAACAGTGGATACTGGATTGACTGGAAAGAGGCACAAGAGAATTTTCTGAGGTGATGAAAATGTAGTATATTTTTATAGAAGTGTGTGCTATGTGGCATTTGTCAAAATTCATCTGTGCTTTTTACCGTATATAAATTTTACCTTCATTAAAGAATAAAAACAAAGAGGAAAAGAAAGCAAAAAAATCTAGGCTGTTAAAGAGTGAAAATACTGATGAACTTCCTTAAATACCGAAAATACTCATGAACTCCTTAAAGCAATGTGTACTGTTTATTAAGTGAGTCTAAGGTCACCATGCAGTTTCGGAAAATAGGAGACAATGGTGCTCTTCCAATAGTTTCTTTGTTCAATAATCAGCAAAACCAGAAAAAAAATTATCAGAGATTCCAGACAGTAGATTTACTGAATACTTTTGGGGGTCCTCTAGCCTGTAATGTTGCTAAAGGATAGTACACGAGAGTTCTAGGAGTGGAAATGTCAAGTACAATACTTGGTTCAGGTACAATATTTGGACAGTACTATTGATAATGCTCCAGAAATTCTTCATAATTTTTAAATGCTTTTCTATGATCTATAAAATGCAAGATTCCTTCTTCTATATCTTAGCAGAGTGTAGCTTCTGGTGACTGAGGTGACAAGACAGACCTAAGTGACATCTGTTAAATAAGCGCCTGATGGACTCAATCTTTTTGCTTTCAGCTGTGTCAATTACTCTCAAATGATTGGCTATGTAGCTGTGTCCTTGAAATAAGACATCTTGACCATCTAAAAAGCACTTTCTTCCACCTGAAAAACTTTCAACCAACCCTATTTAAATTTTTCTATTTGTGCGTTTTAGCAGTCAAGCAGTAACATGGAAGATAATTATTTTGTTTGAAATGCAGCTAAGGACATGGGCAGGGCAGTGGGACTCCATGGCCAACTCTGCCTTTTAGAGCCTGATGAGGAAACTGGAGCTTGGAAGAGCAAAAAAAATGTTATTTAAAGGAAATAACAACTGTTAAGAAACAGCAAAAGAGTCCTGTGGAACAGAAGCAGGAAGGACTTAAAGCTACTCAAATGTTTCAGTTTTTGAGGCTGTGTTACTTTTCTTCAGAAAGGACAAACTGTCTACAACTTGAGTGATTTCCCAACAAAGGGCTAGCCCTACTTAATTCACAACATGGATCCACATTGACAAAAGTTTAGTTCACTAATGAAGCTATGGCAAAACTTACATAAAAAAAAAAAATTTCAATTACCAGGATATTCTTTAATTCACACATTCCGTGCTTTGCCTGCATGTATATTCAAATTTCCTAATCAAAATAATTCAATTTAACAAGATTCAGTTTAATGTTCCTAAGAGCGGAAATGAAAGTACGCAATGTAAGAGTTTGAGCAGGATTTGCTTTTTTTTTTTTTTTTTGCAAAATTTGCTGTTTTGCAATTCTCTGTTCATTTGAAAGGAACTGTTTTTTCAAGTCATTAAGAGTCAACCTATCTAAATTGAAACTATCAAGACAGAAATTGCATGCCTTCTCCATTTCGGTGACTTGAGGCCAGTGATTTTCCTGAACCAACGTTCTTGAAATGTATGTATGTATGTATGTATGTATTTGTTTATTATAGGTCAAGTGGTCTTACGAAAATGCAACATGTGTAGTCACATTTTTTTGTTGTTATTCACAAGAACAATAGTCAGGATAAAATGTCAATAATTGAAACCCAATCTATTGATAGTTTTTCCATTGATTTTTTAAAATCAGCAACCTGAACCTTTTCAACCACTAAACTGCTTGCAAGGGCTGTTAATAAGTGGGAAAATATCCTGATTTGAGTTTTATCTCTTTTTCCTTCTCCCAGCTATTTTCCCTATTGGTGCTATTGGGCTCATAACAACTTAAGTTGGAAAAAAAAAACAGGATGGAAGAAAATTAGCAAACAAATGTGAAAATTATTATTCTTCTTGGTTTCCAGATAAGGGAACTGAGGGTAAAATAGGAACAATGCCTAAAGATATCACTGTCATAGTGGCAGGGCTGGGCTTTAACTCAGATCTCGCTATTTGTAAGTCTGGGCCTTAAGAAGAGAAGCAATGGATGGAAGCTAATCAGTATAATACATTTGCTGGACTGGAGAAATAGCTAAATTTGTGAAGAAGATAACCTACTATTTTGAGCCTGTCCATAGCAGAAAACCATAAATAACAGTGATAAACATACAAAAGTTTATTTTTCTTTCCAGGGCAGTAGGTGAGGTGGTTCTGTGATCATCAGGGACTCAAGTGCCATCTATCTTTCTGCATTTCTATTCTTAGCATATGACTTTATCTTCAAGGTTACCTCTTGGTTCAAGATGGCTACTGGAGTTCTAGCCCTCACATTTTTAATTCTAGGCATAGGAAAGTTGGGAAGAAGAGGATAAAAGGCACCCATTACCAACTATGTTTTTCCTCTTTAGAAGGCCTTACCAGATTCCCACCCAACAAATTCTACCTATAATCTTTTACCAAGTTCTAGTTGCAAAAGATTCGGGAAAATGTAATTGTGTACTTTGCATCCAGAAGTAAAGGGAGATTTGGTTATAAAGGGATATTGTGGAGACAACTAGCATACCTGGTCACAATTAGGCAGCTATTAGAGACTCTTCAATTATGGAAGTGAATGATCAGCTGATCTTCTAGCCAACTGCATGATGAATAAAGGGAGCAATAAAAGGTATATCTGAAGACTCCAGTATGTGATGATGAGCTTTGTATTAGTGAGGTGGCATCAGAGACAGGAGAGAAGAGATGAATGTGATAGAACTTTGTGAAGAATGAATTAATGAAGGAAAATGTATCCATTAATTAGCTGTGGAGCTATGTTTCAACAACCACACCACATATATACACATATGCGTGCGTATGTGTGTATGTGTATAAATACATTATACATATGTATATATTCATATGCATATACATATATATAAATGGTAACCAGGAAAGACATTTACCTAAACCTCTAAGAAAGGGGACCTAGATAAATAAGAAAGTTACGTTGTTTTTTTCTGTGCAGAAAATTGGCTGGAAATTTTGTGAAGCAGTCTATTGGCAATACATAACTAATACATAGATAAATATGTACATGCTTACATACAACACAAATAACATAAAACTTATCTAGGGCTCCATAGTACTAATGGCAATGACTTTCAAACTTCGATATCCCTAAAAAAAGAAAAAGGAAAACAATAAAGGAGTTAAATTAAAGACTTTTAAAAGCAATGAGAGAAGGAGTTATAAGGATAACTAAGAAGGAACTAGTCTTTCTTCTTTTCTTTCTTCCTTCCCTCCTCTTTCTTTCTTTCTTCCTCCCTTCTTTCCTCCCTTCCCCCTTCCTTCCTTCCTTTTTTCCACTCCCTTCCTCTCCCTCTTTTTTTCTCATTCTTTCTTTCTTTAATTTTCGAAGGAGTAGAATTATGAGTTTGGTAACCACATTTTCATAGACTTTTCATTATGAGCTCCTAAATGAGAAAGAATTTAGTCCTCAAGTCATCACCACATCCCTTTTGCTAAGTCAGAAGACAGTAGGTAATGTTTTGCTATCTTGCAGATGACAAAATCTAAGCCCGTCTATGGTGCTGGTAAGATGGAGCCAGCGATGCCTACACAGCTATTTTAGAACTC